CATGCTGTTTGGTGCTGTTGGTACTTTAATATCCTGTACGATTATATCATTAGGTACTTTTTTCATCCACTTATCTGTGTTGTTAATTTCTTATAACACTACCTCTTTATTCTTGAGTAGTACAGAGGTTAAGTTTATGAATATTTGGTCGGATGTGAAATGTTATTTTGGACGCTGTGGATCTCTCTTTAGACTGTCAACTTTCCCTGACATTATTCTTTTGGCTGTTAGCTGTCTTTGGACTTTGTTTTTAAAACTGGACGTAAATGCTATCGACCTGTGAAATAGGTTTCGAGACTCTCTCTACTAAGATGTAAGGGAAGAACTGTCTGCATATCTAGAGATATTCAGAAAATTAAAAGGAAAGGACTTATATAATGGCCAAGTTGCTATCTGACATAATTGCTGATGTAGGATGGAGAAATTACTGCAACATGTTTAATTCTCTAACTCAGGAAAAAAAAAAATATATGGCAATTAGCATGTATTCACTAATTTGGCCATTATTATTATTTTTAAATTGGACTACTGAATTATGTTGGAGGACAGTTGCATATTTACTCAGACTTATAAAACTTGAGTACTTCAATCTAGGTAAATGGAATACAAATATTTAGGCATTAATTTGTGGATTCCTGGAGATATCCCTTAGTTGTTGGCCTTGAATGTTCTATAGCTGTCTAGAGAAGATAATAACCTTAAATGCACTTTTGTATAGGTCTGGATGCTGTTGATTAGGTACTTGCTATCTCGGTGCAGATTCTATAGTTTTTTAGGAATTCTTTATGCACATTTCAAAAAAATTGGCACATTTTCCAAATGCTAAGTTAGTGATTGTTCGACTGTTAGGAGAGTAATTTTCCCTTATTTTATGATATAAGGAGGGTTTAAGTCTCCTGAGCGTTTGTTTGAATCAAAGAGTTACTTGGCAGCTCCTGTGAAGACGGAATAGTCTATTGGTGATGGTGATTTATATGTTCTGATTGATGCTTACTGTTGATTTTGACTCTTTGATGCTTGAAACAGGTGTAATTCAGTTCTTCAAAAAACTTGACGTTGGAACATTTGATATCGGAGATTATTTGGGTAACACTTATATCTATGACATTGGTTTTGTCAATATTACTTTGTTTCTACTCGGGTTCTCATTGTTTTCGTTCACTATTTTCAGCAATCGGTGCTATATTTGCTGCAACAGATTCTGTTTGCACATTGCAGGTATCATAGATATCAAAATTGCTTTACTGCTTCAAAACTCAAATGAATATCAAACCAGAAACTTATTTTGATCTGTCTGCTCTATCAGGTGCTTAATCAGGATGAGACACCTTTACTTTACAGTCTAGTATTTGGAGAAGGTGTTGTAAATGATGCTACATCAGTGGTGCTTTTTAATGCAATCCAAAGCTTTGACCTTAGTCATATCAATCCTGAAGTTGCTTTGCATTTTCTTGGCAACTTCTTCTATTTATTTTTCACAAGCACCGTGCTGGGGGTGATAGTATGTTCCTCTCTCCCTCTTAGTTTTTGTTTATGGAAGCATTGATCTTCAATTGTGATATTAACATTTTCCTCTTCCCTGCAGACTGGGTTGCTAAGTGCATATATTATCAAAAAGCTTTATTTTGGAAGGTACAAAGTCTTCAGCATCTTGGCTTCTGGATGTGCCCTGTTGATTAGTTTCTCAAAATTGTAGCCTAGACCTTGTAGGATCATTTATATTGTCTCGAATGCTAAATTCCTTATTTGAAAGCTAACAATTTCCAGGCACTCAACGGATCGGGAGGTTGCTCTCATGATGCTCATGGCATATCTTTCTTACATGCTTGCTGAAGTAAGGTTCTTCTTAACCTTATTGACCACTTACCTGAAACCCCCTTTTTTGGTTGTTTTGACAACTTATGCTCAATCCATTTCTAATATAAGGTTCGTTGTTGATTATGTGGATGGCAGTTATTCTATTTAAGTGGCATTCTCACTGTATTCTTCTGTGGGATTGTGATGTCCCATTACACCTGGCACAATGTCACTGAGAGCTCAAGAATTACTACCAAGTATGTCCTCTTTACAAAAATTAATGATTGCTATTGAAAGCTGTTTGTAGTATATGAATCTAAACACATAAAACCAGCTGTATGTATATTGTTTGTTACTTTTTCAAACTTATACAGGCACACTTTTGCAACCTTATCATTCGTCGCTGAGATCTTTATCTTCCTTTACGTTGGGATGGATGCTTTGGACATTGAGAAGTGGAGATTTGTCAGTGACAGGTATGTGTTGCATGTATCCTACAGCAAAGTAACTTTTCTGGGTGGATTATTTAGTTGTTAAGTTATTGACGCCTTTGTTCACCAAAAGAACAAATTTATTGATACCTTGGATCTCTAATTTTTTTCCACTTTCATTTAGTTCTTTGGAATTGACTTGCAAATTGCATGATTTCCTTCTTTGTAAAGACATCTATGTTGATTTTGTTTCATTTTGCAGTCCTGGAACATCAGTTGCAGTTAGTTCAATTTTGCTTGCCCTGGTTATGGCTGGAAGAGCAGCGTTTGTTTTCCCCCTCTCTTTTCTATCCAACTTAGCTAAGAAATCTCCAAATGATAAAATTGGCTTTAAGCAGCAAGTATGTTGTCCAATTCCTGAGGCATTTTGATTTAGCTTCATCCTAATAAGTTGACATATCTGATTCAATCAGTATCTTGTTCATTTCTTTTAAAGGTTGTGATATGGTGGGCTGGTCTCATGAGAGGTGCTGTTTCTATGGCACTTGCATACAACCAGGTATAATTTATAGATTTTTTATTTATTTTGACATGAATTAGGAACTATTGTGAACTGGAAAAAGAGGGGAAAGCAGGTTCTATAGGGAACAAAATTTTACAGGAAATGAATTGATAAGGATCACACTTAAAGTCTTTAGAGCAGATTCTGTTGTCCTTACGTTATGCTTGAATCGAAATTAGTATAGAGAAGTGGAAATAATTCTTCAGTTAAGACATTTATGATATCCTTTTCCTATTTCCCCGATTTAGTTGAATGAGGAAAATGCTTGTTTGAGAGGTTAGTGAGGGGATGCTCAACATCCCTCTCTTTCCTTTCTCACTTTCACCTTTTTTTTAAAATCTAAGCAAGGAAGTTAATATTTATTTCTCCTTTCACTCAATCCAAAATAATGATACGGAAGCATGACAGAACGACGGACTGGAGAATAATTTCGGAGCATGTTAGAAGAAAAGTAGAGTGTGACCAGAGATATTGAAGGAGAGATAGGGTAGTGCGTGTTATGTCATTTAATATCTTCTATTTTTATTACCATTGCAGTTTACAAGGGGAGGGCACACTGAGTTACGTGGGAATGCGATCATGATAAGCAGTACTATAACAGTCTGTCTTTTTAGCACAGTGGTAAGAATTTTGCCTGTATTATTTGCTTAGGCTATATTCTGAGGTTAATTTTAGAAGTTGCAAAGTCTACTTTTTCATTTCACTTTTTTCAAAATTTTGTTTTGAAGTCCAATGTTTTTACAGACCTTGAATTGTTATCACTTGCCTTCATGAAAGATAAACCTCCTTTTGTTCCCCATTTGGCCTTAAGTGCTCGTAATAAGGCTTGAAGCCCGAGCTTGAACTTCAACAAAGGAGATTATGCCATTTGAGCCAAAGGCACTTTGCTACATGAAAATAAAGCCAATTTGAGCCAACGCCTTGAATGTTAACCTTGATGACTTGTTTAACCGATGTTTGCTAAGTCGCGTTAGCGACATAAAGAAGATTGCACCTGTGTTTTCCCGGTCCTTTATGCTATTGAAGTTGCCTCATTGCATGCACCAAACTACCAAAAAAACTTATGTTTATTCTCTGGTTGGGACATTGAGCTTGTTGGATATGGTAAACAATTGCTGTCTTTTTGTTCTATTCAGGTGTTCGGTTTGTTGACCAAACCTCTTATTCGCTTCTTGCTTCCTCACCCAAAACACTCAACCAGCATTGCATCACCCGATGCTACCCAAAAACTTACTGTGTCTCTACTCGATGACGGTGGTCAGGACTCCTTCATTGATCTTGGTGGGCATATAAACCGTCCGAGCAGTATCCGTGCTCTTCTTACAACTCCAGCACACACTGTTCATTACTACTGGCGTAAGTTTGACGACGCTTTCATGCGTCCTGTGTTTGGTGGCCGGGGTTTTGTTCCCTTCGTTCCCGGCTCACCAACTGAGAGGAGTGTCCCTCAATGGCAGTGAATGTCCCTTGGCCAACTGGTTTGTAAAAGAAAATGTGTTCACAACCAGTTCTTCAAAAGCCAACTCGTCTCCCCATCCAACAATCTTTAGTTGTACAAAAATGTTTTGAGCTTTTGTTTTCTACGTTCCGCTAAGTTTTGTACATTAAAACATGTATAGTTGTTGAAAAATGAAAATAAAAAATTAAAAGTAATGGTGGATATATATAATATGAGTTTGAGAATAACTTTTTATTCATTTCAAATTCATGACATATTTTCACCATTATTTTTTAAATATTATCTTCATTTTTCAAGGAACCATGCATATTTTTTTGTACAAATATATATGAATATGAAAAAATAAAATTTCAAAATAGTTTTTCACTACTAAAGATAGCCAAACGTTCTGATGAGCGTTTAGGGTTGTGGGGTGATCGTCGCACGGGTGTTTTGTATCATAGCTCGTAATGGTATGTGACTGATTACGATCAGTGCCTAAAGTAAAAAGAGCTTCTTTCAGCAGACAGTCCCAGCTCTTACTTTCTTAGTTTGAGAGTGAAAACAAGCGATATTGTTTATGTGTGTTAGCAAATTTGTTATTCCGCGGTTGTTAAATTTTGAGAGTGAAGGTGTGCCAAGTTTGATGTGTATTATCGTTACCAATTCTCACAAGGCTGCTCTGCTCGCTGAGCCTTAACTCGTCCCACGGTTCTTGGTTGGAGGATTGGTGCCAGAGATGTAATATTGATATTGCCAATATAGCATTTTTGTTGGAATTAATTTATTTATTGCATTATAAGTGGAGTCTACGGTACTTAATATAATAGAGCTAATAACTTAATTTATTAGTAGTCAACAAATTAACTTTAACGAATTATTAATGTTTGTGAGCGAAGTGAATCATATTTATTATTTATGGTTTTTAACAACTAAATTCTGAGTGAATGACATCTTATTGGTCTTGTTGCTAAATTTTGAAAGCGAATGACAACGTCATGGAAGTGTATTAGCGTATTATTTTTCAAATGGACGGTGACGTTTTACTCAATTTTAGAGAAATAAAAAAAAAAACAATTGAATTTGAGGGGAATTAAGGATCAATCTTCCTTTTTTTCTTAATTTTTTCTTCTTATTTTTAACAACTATTATTCTAGATTGAGGAAGAAAAAAGGATTGTTTTTGCAGAATTTATTTCAGAAGTTATTTTCATTAATATATTTAAAATAATTTTGTGAATATACAAGTTTAATTCTAGACCATCATAATTAATTTATAAATTTCACGAACTTTCCAGTATTACTTGTATGTATCACCAGGATAGTTCAAAACAATGGGTTTATATATTAGAACACCCAGATGCAATATATGCTTATATTGACCTTACTGAATTTAATAATAATAAACAGATGAGGAATTATCATCATATTTTTAAAACAAAGTTCCCGCAAAACTACCCCGATTTCTGAAGGACATTGAATTGTGATTCCACGCATCCAAAGTTTACACCCAGTAAAAGGGTGGTGAGTTAAGAGCCAAAAAGAGAATCAACACAATGATTAATCTGTCAAAGCAGCTTTTTAACATCGCATTAGACAATACAAACAAAAACTTCATGACAGACTAAAAAGTTCAGAAGATTATTAGTCAATAATAATGAAAAAAGTTTTTAGCCCATCAAACACAATGAGTCTCTGATTTCTTTTGTTCAGCTGGGAATGAGTTAACAGTAATTCAATCATTTAGACATTCTATTTTTCTGCCAAAAAGTTCGCATGTACATGTAGCATATTCTTTTGATCCTGGAGTCAACGGACCAAAATAAACACAATGTTGGCTCTCCTCTATACTCCTTTGCATATACTTACGATGAGAGAAAAAGTTTGCTTTAGATCCTAACTTTCTACCTAATATAATGAAACTCCAATTTTCTTTTTAATGATGGGTTCCACACGTGGGTCCATGTCAACAGTGTAAATAGTAGCCGAGAATGATGCTGATAAATGCTACCATAACAACGTATAGAAGAGGAAAGCCTACATGGACTTGTTTAACAGTTGTCTTACTTCTCAGCAGCGCCTGCAGAGAACCCAAAAAAAGGTTGTGTAAACGTAATGATACAGAGGCTTACTCTGGTCTTTTAATTGCCCACCATTAAAAGAATACAAAAAAGAAGTAAGAAATATGAACATATCCTTATGTCCAAGTAGAACTACTAAGTAGTTTCCATTAATTTGCACAAAATCCATGATGCTCCGATAATCACAAACTCAGATCATGTATCAGATGAAACAGGAATTAGCATCAAGGATATAACCAGGAAAGAGGAATTCTACCATGTCCAAGAAAGTTAACACAAAACAAAGTTTGGTGCAACAAAAAGAATGATAACATAGCACGAAAAAGAACTGATAAAATACGAGAAGGTCCACGGCTGAACTAGTGTGAAGAAGAAGAAACATAAAGGCACTTACTAGTTCTTCTTGCAATGTTTTTCTCTCCTGAACGATAGACTTCCTCTCCTCTGTCAGAGTTGAAATCGTAGCCTCGGCCTGAAAAGAATGTTTACAGAGTTCCATTACCATTTTCATCGGAAATTTTAAGGAACAGTTAATAAATTGTGAAAAACACAAGTAACTCTTCGAGAAGTACTAGAATTCAAAATACGTATTGATCCATTATCTTTGAATAATAGAGCAGGTAACAAATATTTCATAAACTAGGACAAACTCTTTAATCTTCACAGAGAGTAAAAGATGCATTGCAAGGTTAGCCTTTAAATTTTGAAATATTGGTAAGTTCAAATAAAGAAAACACCTGCCGTCTAAGCTGGAAAATAATTTTATCCAGGCTAGCTGAAGGCACATAAGAAAAGCCATATTGTAGTTATGCCAGTATTTTTTAGGATAAATTATGGGTAAGACTGACCTTGTCTAGCTTAGATTTGAGTTCATTTAATTTTGACTTCATCTCGTCAATCTCTTTAATTAATCTCAGTTCCCCCAGAGACTTGGCTGTTTCCGTCCCCACATGATTTGACGGTTTAAAGTCTGTATCCTTTGCTAATTTTAATTCCTTGGTATCAACTCCGTCTTTTGTTGACTTGAACTCTGTAGCATTCACTGGCTTCAAGTCCTCACCATTAATTCCATCCTTCTTCACCTTCAAGTCTGCATCCCTCATTGGGTTTAACTCCTCATGGTTAAATGCAGTTCGTTTTGGCATCAAGTCCTCAAAATTAACCTTCTTGGGCTCCAAAATTTTTATATCCTGAGACAAAAGAGAATAACCACAAGCAGTTGGGACTCAAGTCAGTAAGATTTCTGAACTCAGAAGTCCTAAAACACTTAAAGGAAAAGGAATGGTTGAGCTCAACCAAAATTAGAACTTTTCTTTCAATCTAAAAGAATAAGATTCAATACATGATCTGTCAATACCGAAGCTTCATAAATTGGCCCCTGCTTCAATGTTCCCTTGACTGGTGATAATGGCGGTGAATGAGGTGGGCTAACAAGGACAACTTTCAGCTTGTTTTCTTCAACATACCTGCCATCGTCTTTGGCAAACTGCCAGAAGAAAACCATAAGAAAGAAGCAAATGAGTGTTGAAGTCAACTCCAACTAGACACGCTTACCATGCTAGCTGTAATATCTTCATCACTCGTTCCAACAGGCACAACAGTACTTTGAATTAGGAACTTGTCTCTGCACATCATATCAGGCGGAGCCTCCCGTTGGGCTTGCATGGTTACTGTAGTAATAACATAGATAGAAGATCTAAACTTATGAAGCAGTAATTTGTTAAAAACATAGTACCAATCAATTAACACTGAAGTGCTGCATGGACAATGAGAACAAAAATTTGTTTGCATGTTGAAAACACAGTTTCATAAAATCAGAGTTGCAGATAGGATAAAACATACCTGTAAAATCTGAAGATGCTTTTGGTGCAACAACACCAACATTAGGTCGTACACAATACTTCTTAGGCGCTGTGGTTTTAACCTGCCAATATCACACTTTACTTCCATCTTCTATATGACAATTCATCTTATTTAGTAACATACATCGTAATGGTCCGGAAAGAAAAAATGAGAAAGAGATGCTTCAAACCTTGAAGGCAACAAACTGGTCGGTGTTATTTGTGAGTTGAATTGAGCATGAACTTTGCTTTTTCAGTTCAACTGCAAACACCAATACCCCTCAATGTGTTATCCAATTTGCTTTGCAATAGAGAGATGAGAAAAAGCAAATTCAACCCGGCTTTTTCTTTCATGCACAATAAAATCCTTCGTTCTTTTTTAATGCCCAATAAAGGCAGAATAAACATCCATTTATAACATAATTTGGACAATGTCCCCCTCTTCCCCTCCGCACACCCCACCCCCCAAAAAAAAAACTGGAATTGGATCCAATTATTATGCATCAATTTGCAAATTATAACATAATTTGGATAATAAGATCACATATTAGTTAATTACTTCAGTCCTGCTTGAATCTCACAAGATATTCAATAATTTATTTCAGTTCCTACTGCCTTAGCAGAAATTAAGGTTCTCGTTGGGTTCAGAAAAAAAGAAGAAACAAATGGAAGAGATAAACACATCAGGACGTTTCTTTTCCTATATTTCCCTTTTGGTGATAAAAAAAAAAAACATTAACCCTTTAGCAGCAATACTATTGTAGCAATAAAGGCTAAGAAAAAGAAAAATGATTATTACAAACCATAGCAGGAAAAGTTAAAAAAAAATTATTGACTCACATATGAATTTCAATTCCCTGGGTTGAATTTCCAAAAGTTGAGTACTCATTTTGCTTGCCCGCGATAATCAAAATCTGAATCCAGTCCTCTCAGCATCCAAAACCTGGCCACAGATCCTCAAACTCTCAATCACTTCGCAGAATTATAAAAAAAGAAAAGGAGAGAATCATTAAATCGAGTAGCCAACAGTTTCGATTGAAAGCACCGCACTCAAAAAATATAATTAAGCATATTACTGAAAACACAAATCATCCTCTTTCTGTTGACGCAAAACAGAGTAAAAAATAAAAGAGTCGATTAATTAAATTGTTTCGAATTGGTTACCCGTAGTTATTTGACGTACATAATACATAAGAGATTAACCAAAACAAGAAGAACACTAGTAATCACCAGATGGCTCAGATTTTCGAACTCGGATCATACTCACTACAACAAAGGTGTCCGTTCAACTATTTAGGAAAAAAGAAGTTCGTCACTCAACGAAGAATCAAATTCTAACTCGTTCGTAACTCAGAAAATGCACACGAATTATGAAACGATGTCGTAGCATCAGCGGAACGCAGGGGAAGAATGGTAAATAACAGAGGGAGTCTACAGATCGCCAGGATTATCGCGATGCGGGAACCGGCAAAGTCGAAAACTAAACTCAAAGCTCGACTCGCTCTGGACTCGGATTCCACAACCCTGAATCAAACACATACAAATACGCTTATAATATGTATGTATACGCGGATCGTTCAAGGACGGAAACGGCACCGTTGCCAAGCGCGCAAATCGTCTTGTTCTTCCGAGTATCCGATTTCCCGAACAAACTTAACAATACTGCCTAATTCTCAACTCTCATCGCCAAAGTCAAAATAAAACGAGAAAAAAGCCGCACTACTT